AGACAAAAAAAAAAAAAAAAAAAAAAAAACAAACCAAAAAAAAAAAAAAAAAAAGGTCAATCCCTTATTTAAGATCTAGGAGCAAAGAGCTGATTTACTTCTTTACTTACACAATGAGGGGGCCTGTGTATCTAAAAACCTTAGCAGAACATTCTGGAAAACAGGCAAACTAGATCCAGCAAGAGAGGCTGAAGAAATAGACTCCTTCTCATCTAAGACTTCTGATTCACCACATCTCTACAGATTGAAAACAAACAGGCACAGTTAATTATAGAGGATGAGTACAGTCATAATGGCTTAACATTTAAGTTCTCAGATAAAACATGTAAAACCATGAATCATAGGTGAATATAAACTCTGAAAGTTGGAAAAAACTACCCCACAACAATTCAAATGATTTCAAAGAACCCCCTTGAAAAACATTACTCATGTGAATTATAAACTCTGCACAGCACTGTTTGAGTACCCATTGAATACATAACATAGCTCAATAAACTATTCATTATTCCTATGCAAAATTGCTAAAAATAATTTGAAATTGTCTTAGTTTTTAAATAACTCATGTTTAACTGTGTTCCCCCTGAGAAATATTTGGGCACCTATTATGAAATTTGATTTTTTTTGTTTGTACATTTTTGTCAGGAGGGAATATTTAAGTGTGTCTGGATAAGTATGGTGTCAAATGAAAAAGCTAACAGTTCCTCTAATAAGATTCTCTCACTGATTCATCACACTTCACCAGTAAGATCTCTCAGAACCTTAGGAAATCTCCAAAATTCATGAAATACATCTAGAGAAGCTGTTTAACTTTATACTCCTAAAGACAGAACTTACTAGAGGATGAGAAAAGAAACAATTTAAGCAATCAGAACCTCATTTTCTATTCTTTTTGGTATTCCTTTGATCTTTCTCATTTTCAGTATTTACTCTTTAATACTAAAATGTTAACTATATTAGGAATATTGTATTAAGATATTATTTCTCCAATCTATCCTCTATTTACAAATGTCATATTTTGAAAATGGTGGTGTTTAAATAGAAATAAATCCTAAACATCTGAGAGAATGCACTTTTAGATATGCACACATTTAGGCCTATTAAAATTAAGTACATTTTTGTCAGGAGGGAATATTTAAGTGTGTCTGGATAAGTATGGTGTCAAATGAAAAAGCTAACACAGTTCCTCTAATAAGATTCTCTCACTGATTCATCACACTTCACCAGTAAGATCTCTCAGAACCTTAGGAAATCTCCAAAATTCATGAAATACATCTAGAGAAGCTGTTTAACTTTATACTCCTAAAGACAGAACTTACTAGAGGATGAGAAAAGAGACAATTTAAGCAATCAGAACCTCATTTTCTATTCTTTTTGGTATTCCTTTGATCTTTCTCATTTTCAGTATTTACTCTTTAATACTAACATGTTAACTATATTAGGAATATTGTATTAAGATATTATTTCTCCAATCTATCCTCTATTTACAAATGTCATATCTTGAAAATGGTGGTGTTTAAATAGAAATAAATCCTAAACATCTGAGAGAATGCACTTTTAGATATGCACACATTTAGGCCTATTAAAATTACAAATCTGTGTGTGAATCTCTTCTGAAAGTGGTATGTGTATGTGTGTATGTGTTCTGGAATACAGGGAGAAGAGGCATTTTTTAAAAATCCAGAAGTAATAAAATATTTGAGAAATTTGACTTTAGTTACTGAAGTGTATTCGTTGCAATTCACCATACAACAGTATATCTATTCATAATGTGTAGGAAAAAGCAATGAAAGGATTTTCCTAATTTGCACACTGTGCAATGGGCCCCTTGGTTTAGTATCTTTAAGCCCCAATTTGAACAATGTGTTTTTGATGAACATGGCTCTCCCAACGGGAGGAGAGAGATGTCTGTGAAAAGGTACTTCCTCCTTCTCTTTTTAACAGCTTCCTAGGAAGTACATAAATTATCGGCAACACAGAGAGCCAGCCAAGGTTCATCCATTCACACAATAAGCATTTTCTGAGCATCTACTGTACACTGAGCAGAATTCTGGGTGCCAGAGACCCAACACTGAACAGGATGAGCAAGGTCCCTACTGTCAAGCTTGCATTCTAGAGCGGGAAGGCAAGTATTAAACAATAAGCAAATTAACTAGATTAAGTGAGCTGCAATGAGGAAAGTAAAACAGAGTGATGTAAGGAAGTGCAGCTGAGGGGCAGGTGACATTAACTTTAGATCCTGTGGTGATGGAAGATCTGCCCAGGTGACACATGTTGAGTCAGGAAGGCTAGCAAGGAAGTGGCATTTCCTGAAATGGGAATGATAGAAAGAAGCTGGCCCTGCAAAGACAGTGGAGTAGAGCGTGCCACCCAGAAGGGGCAACAAGAGCAAAGTCCCCCAGATAAAAGTGAGCTTTGTGTGTTGGAGGGGCAGAAAGACCAAGATGGCTGGAGCTGTGACCAGGGAGCACGGTCCAAGACAAGGTGGGAAGGGCAGGCAGGGCCAGCTCATGCGAGGCTCTGCAGGCACGGTAAGGAACAGTAAGGGGACACTGCGATCTGTCTGCATTCTGAAAAGATCACTCTGGCTGCTGTAGAGGATGGGAGAGAATGCAGAGGAAGCAGAGAGACAAAGTTAGGAGGCCCCGATGTTGTCCCGGTGAGAGATGATGAGGGCCACCTAGTCAGGTCACAGGCACACATTCCCTGTAGCTGTCCTTGCTCAAGTTCATGGGCAAAGGAGGCTCACTCAGAAAATTTCCCTTCAACAAAAGCTAATGTTGATGAAGTTAGCTTTGTTTTTTCCTTTATAATTTACTTCCAAGGCTTGAATCGCTCTCTCTGGGGCCAAAATATAACCTAAAAAACTAATAT